CAAACCGCACTGTGTGGGATGAAGGTGGACTCGGCCATGTCCACCTTCAACAAGACGGAACGGGTCGTCATTTATGGTGTCCCCTCCGAGTACTCCGAGGGTGAATTGCTGGAGGATCTTAAGCTCCACAATCACGCTGTAGAGGGTTTATACCTCTACAAACCTCGGGAGGGCAAGTCCGTCAGGACTGTCCAATTAACATTTGCAAGCGGGAAAGTACCTAATGGTCCTCTTCCCCTTCTTTATTCCAGGTAGCAGCTCCACCCTTACATCCCAAAGGTACGAAGATGCCAGAAGTGCCAGAAGTTGGGTCACCTAGAGAAGTTCTGCCGCAGCAAAGTTTGCTGCGAAAAGTGTGGAGAGGGGCACAGCACCAAGCTGTGTAAATCCAAGAAGGTACGGTGTGTGAATTGTCGGAGTGATAACCACTCCAGCAACTCCGCACAGTGCCCTTCGTTCCTGTCGAGAAGAGCGGAAATAAGGATACAACACACCTACAAGGTATCCTCCCAAGAAGCTCGCCATCACGTCTCGGCCAACACGGTGCCCGCTGCCCCCAAGCCCGTGGTCGAATGCCCCAAACCCGCCCCGGCTCAAACTCCGAAAGGATTCACGCCGGAGTTCAAGGACGAATCTAAATTTTTTGATTTCTGTTGAAGGTTGGTTGCAGTAGCAATTAGTTCCAGATCCAAGGCTGGTGAAATCAATCCAAAGGACGTTATGGACGCAGTATCAAGAGTATGTGCCGACAATGTCACGAATCTACAACCACCAAATAAGGATACCAAACCAAAGAGGAAGAGATCCAGCACGGATGTTCCGAAGACTGACGTAGTGGGTCAATCAGTGGAAACGCCAAGAAAAGTAAAGGCGGTATCCACGAGTGGCCAACCTCGTCAGTCAAGGAGCATCTGCAGAAGTACAGGCTCCAGACCCGTGACTGAGCGCTCTAGAAGCACTTCGCTAGCTAGACCACTGCCCACTGGCTCAGTAACGGAAATGGACGTAGAGGTTTTTACGGCACCCCAAACCCCATGCTAAAACCATACTGAACTAAAAAGTCATTAATTATTTTACATTCAATTTCAGGTTCATACAGCTGAACATCAATGGTTTGAACGTACCTGAACGAAAGACCCAACTGGTACAGCTACTACAAAGGAAGCAGTATGATGCCGTTTTTCTCCAAGAGTCCAAGCTCGGTTCAAGGAATAAAGACCCTATCATCAATGATTATACTTTGATCAGATTAAACAGACCTAATGCTCTCAACCATCGAAGTGGTGGGGGTCTGGCCATCTACATCAAAAATGGTATATCCCATAGTGAGGTTCCTCTGAAAACCATCGCTCCTCTGGAGGCACAGGCGGTATCCTTTACCGACAAGTCAAAGGTTTTTTCTATCGTTAATATTTATCGACCCGAAGTCAAAGGCAAACCTCAACGATTCAGTGAATATCAGTATGTTTACGATCAGTTGCCCGGGACCGACAATATTGTGCTTGGTGATTTTAACGCCAAACACGTATTGTGGGGCTCGCCAACAACTGACACTAATGGTAGACAAGTTGCTGAGTTCATTGAGGCCAATGACCTGGTTAGCATAAATGATGGTAGCATTACTTATGTTGGTGCAATTGCTCCTCTTGGTTCGCATCTCGATCTCACATTAGTAAG